CCATTTGTAGTTTTCATTACATCTTAAAGGTGTTAGGAAAGTGTGCACAAGGGTTAAAAAAAACTCTCAATGGAATAATTTGATAAATAAAATTGATTTTTTATCTACATATTTATTTTCTCTTAATGTTTGGACGCTTCCCAAAACCACTATAACAAGTTTAAATGAATGGAGATTTTTAAAAAAATGAAGAAGAATACAGCAAGGTACAATGATCAGAGGTCACGCCACCTACCTGAGTAATAGACCACCAGTTCCTGCAGGGTTAGAAAAGTCTTGCGCGTGGTGACAAAAAATCCTCCGTTGTCCAGGGTCTTGATACGATAGTGTTTGACATGATCTCCCTTCGCTCCTGGTTCCCAGTCTTTTATGGAGAGGCTGTAGGCCCCTGCGGATCCAACAGTAGGTGTCAGGAAGCCTGTGCTGCACGGGGCTTGGAGAGGACACTCACCAGAATTCTGTTCACTCTTCCTAATGAGGAACGTCCCTCGTTCCAGTTTGGGGTTGAGGAGCTGTTTCTCTGCTTCCTTCCTCGAGATATTGTTGAAATACCACCTGTGATACACAATGGTCACAATTTAAACACATAGTTTTGTGCTATCTGTTATTGAATCTTAGAACTATTAGTGCAAACTTTTCTCAAAATACAACCACTTTGTACTGTCCTTTCTGGGATATTGGGAGGGCATGGCTAATCAGTGGTGACCCAGCAATTCTAATTAAATAAAGTAAAGCACGAAGGAAGATGAAACTCCTTCGTGCTTTACTTTATTTGATTATCTAAACAGGAAGAGTTCTATCGCTTATTCAAATTCTAATTAAGGGAGATACAAGGTAATAAGACCAAATCCAAATAAATAGTGTGTTGACACAGTGTCAACACACTATTTATTTATTTGGATTTGGTCTTATTACCTTGTGTTTATAATCTATAATCCAAATTTTGCCATATCAATTAAGGAAGATATTTAAAAAACAGAGATTGAAAGCTAATAAACATTCCATAATTAGGACAAATGGTAATTTAGATTAAACTTTTTGGTTTCACATCAAGTCCAAATCAATTAAAGAGAGTTTTACTGTATATTGAGTGAAGAGGAAAACCACCTTTTCAAAACTAGCTTCAACGTAGTCCTCTAGTGTATGGACATGAACATTTACATATTTGAGCTGATCTTACTTCCTAGTTGAATAATTACCCTATTTACACCACGGCCAGATGAGTATTTTCTGACACTTCTAGACAGGTATCCTTCAGTCAGGTTCCATATCACTGGCCAGTTATAACTACCAGGTGTAAACATCTACTTCTCTCTATGAAGACCAGTTCATTCTCAGTACTACAAGACATTTGTTGTTGGTATGTCTCTTTTTACATATTGTCCCAGAATTTATTAATATGTAATAATATAATTTAAATAATTCATCAAACAGATTAATACAAAATGAATATATGGCATATTCATCATTTATTTATGCTCAAGGTAAAAAGACCAAATCCAAATAAATAAATAGTGTGGGATCGCTGTTACCGAAACGTCACACACTATTTATTTGGATTGGGTCTTATTACCTTGTGTTTATAATCTATAATCCAGCCTTATCATTTATTTATGTTACTTCCAAGTCTTCCTGTAAATAGGGGACCAAAAGTACTCACATAATAAATCAAAATTATGTTATGATTACTCGCTGTCTACAATACAGCAATGGACCCGTCGAAATAGTGGTACTGAAAGGTGCAACATTATGAATTACCTTGTATAAAATGTTTGAAAAATTGCTGTGAGACATTATGAGATGTTAAAAACATTCAGACAATATGGTATAGAAATGAAAAATTAGTGTTCAATTAGGATCATGAATTAGCAAGCTAACGATCCAAAAAGTAATCTGAATGTGACACCCTCGCATACTGTGTGACTATTAAAAAAGACATATTAAAAGGTTTACATAGGTTTTTGCATATAAGTATTAGCATTCTTTGATGAGATTGTATTTTTTAGTCGCTAACTACCAACCATGATTATCATGGCCTGTACCACGTGTACCAGGGATAAGCAAAAAAAAAAAAAAAAAGATTGTATTTTGGGTTCTTCAATATACGCTACATAATATACACCACATTTAACAAGATCTCTATTATAATAAATGTGAATTATTTTTTATATTTATTTATAGAAGAAATATATTCATCAAAAATAGTTCAAATTTCTTTATACACCTCCAATACTTAGATTATTATATTTAAACACAAGGTAATAAGACCAAATCCAAATAAAATAAATAGTGTGTGATGTTTCTGTAACAGTGTTCTGTCATCCCAAGAGAACAACAGTCTTTGATTTCCAGACTTAAGTCTGGTCATCTACGGACAGTGACTTTCCAGAATGGTAGCAAGGTTTTCCCACTATGTACCAAGTGCAATTCTCAGCCTGCAACCCCAAGACATATTATTGACTGTATTGACTCAGCCATTAATGAGCTCTACTCTTCCCCGGCAGACACCATCAAAAATCTCAAGCTTTACAAGCTTGATACCTTAATATGATTGAGTGGAGATAAAAAAGAAGAAGAAGAAGAGTAACAGTGTTGTTACCATCTTCATACAAAAGTGCTGATTGAGAAAAAATATCACACACTATTTATTTATTTGGTCTTATTACTTGTTGTTGTTTCTTATCCCCTTGTGCAAAGATTACACAAATTCGTTGAGTTCATGCCCCTCGAGCTGTTTTATGATAAGCAGTGGCTTCTCCTAAAGGTCCGGTCTTATTACCTTGTGTTTATAATCTATAATTGTGCCTTATCATCTTTATTATATTTAGTTAAATAGGAGCAAACCAAAAAACAAATGATAATTATTTCCATCATTGTTACTGAGTAGCTACAGTTTGAGAGTAGCAAACATCGCAAGACTTATCAACAATGAAAGTAGAACTTACTCCTCTGTGTCCACGGTGGTCTCGAAGGCAATGTAGTTCCTGGGGATGTAGCCTAGCTTGTTGTGGGTGAGATGGAGGGCAAACCACCAGTCTTCATTGCTGTCTCACACACTCTGGTCAGATACCATGGTGGTAGTGGAGGCAGGCTAGCTCACCTGTCATCTATGATCTCCATGAGGTCTCCCTTGTTGAACCACAGGTCTCCCTCATCTCTGCCCTTGTAGGTGTACAGGGCCTTTACTACTTTGTCTGTAACACACCCAGGAAGTCAGTTAGCTAACAGTACAGCAGATGTGCTACAGACAAGAATGATAAAGAACAATTTGGATTATAGATTATAATAAAAGAAAATAAGACCTAATCCAAATAATTTAATAGTGTGTGACGTTTCGGCAACAACATTGTCATCATCATCAGACAAAAATAATAAAATCATTTTATTCTTTTTGTCTGATGATGGTGACAATGCTGTTGCCGAAACATCACACACTAATAAATTATTTGGATTAGGTCTTATTTTCTTTTATTATGTGCTACAGACAAATCTGAGAACATTTAAATCTGCTTTCAACTTTAGTTGGTTTGGCAAATTCTTTCCTCCCTTGACTGGTTGACATATTTGGTTATCTCTACATTCTGCTACTCTTTCCAGGTCTACACTATCTTGATTTGGAAATATGTTCTCATCAAAAAAAGTAGGTAACTTCCCTCTAATCACAAGTAAACAAGCCCAGATTCCAAAAAAGGGTAAAGTATTATATTTCAGTACTTTTGCCATCTTGTTCCTTGATTGCCACTATACACGTGACACAATAAATTAATCCTCAAATTGTGAACTTAAATTAGGTAAGTGATAAAGCACAATTTAGATTTATAGATTATAATACAAGAAAATAAGACCTGATCCAAATAAATTAATAGTGCGTGACGTTTCGGGCAACAGCATTATCACTATCATCACACAAAAGAATAAATGAGATTTAAGAACTTGCTGTGATATTTTTTTCTCATTTATTCTTTTGTCTGATAAGGGTGACAATGCTGTTGCCGAAACGTCACACACGTGGTGGACCAGGTCTTATTTTCTTGTATTAAATTAGGTAATTTTAATGCAACAAATTCTACCCAAATTTACCAGGGAAAAATCGTGTGAAGTATGTACAGGAGAAGGATAGATTGTGGAAGGCACTTACTTTGATGGTGGGACCCCCGCTGTAGGTTGGTTACCCAGCTTGTCCCCAGCGTCGGCATTGTTTTTCTTGTGGTTGGAGGAGGCCTCAGAGGAGAACTTGAGGCCTCCGTTGAGGGTGGGGGCTTCTCTCGGCAGGAGGAAGGAGCAGCAGTTCCCCATGGCAGCTTCTGGAGCAAACTCTTAGCTTACACCCAATATATTCCATGGTAGCTAATTATTTATATTGGGTAAGTTTCTTTTGAACTGAGACAAGAGAGAACGCTTCACGATTTTGCGTGTCATCCTTGCGCAGGGGCCATGCTAATCTTCTCTGTATCGTTTCAATTTTAGTATATGTACCGCCCGAACAAGCGGGAAAGAGAGAGTATCTACTGATCTTACTATGTGTGTGCAATACTAAAATATACATATTTTTATAGAAATTAGTTTTCTTTTAAAAGACACATATCATTATAAATTACAGATGGTGCTCTAAATGCATCATGTTTATAAAAGATAATAAAAACAAATCAAAAAAAAAAAAATAGTGTGTGACATTTCAGTGACAACGCTGTTATCACACTATATTTATTCATTTTCCCTTATTGCCTTGTGTTTGCAATGTAAAATCCAAATTGTGCCTTATCATCTTCCATGTTTATATTTTCTTTAGTGGAGGATCTCTCTGATGAATTTTTAATTCCTCAATAATTCCAACTCTACCAGGCCCTCATGTCTTAAAGAGAATATGCTACACTCTACTTATCCAAATTGCCTTATAGAGTAAAAAAACTCTATGACTACCCAAGATTGAGGACATTGCGACTACTGTGATAGAGATGCATGGAGACATCTCTTCATTGGACATAACAACCTCTTTGCCTATGGCCATACCACATTGAAAACACCGTTTCTCATCCGATCACTGAAGTTAAGTAATGTCGGGCCTGGTCAGTACTTGGGAGGGTGACCACCTCTTTGATTCAACAGATTATAATTCAACAACTACAGTTAAACCTGTCTATAGCGCCCCCTCTTGGGACTCACCAAAATAGGGTGTTATAGAGAGGGGGTGCTATAGACAGGTCACTTTTAATGTAAAATGTTTACATTTTAATGTTTAAAATCGGGCACTATAGAGAGGAAGGCGCTATTTAGAGGGGGTGCTATAGACAGGTTTAACTGTAATTCAACTTTTTTTTCTTTCTAAATCCCAATAGTGTCATTTAGTCTAATTTAACCATCTATAATTCAACACAGACCTTAATTCACTGACTGTATATAGATATAGGTGATAACAAACCTAAATTTTTCAAATATTAATATTTTTAAACTAATATTATTTATTTCTCTAGCTTTCAGGCCAACATGTTCTTTAACAGAAGAACTAGAAGTAAGACTTCCAGCTAACTATAGACGCCAAAAAATAAAAAAAAATAGTTATAGAAAATGACCCTGGATTGCTTGTTAATTTTTTTCAATTGTAAAGGCAGGGATATGTTTTTCATATTTTGCTACTTGTGGGAAGGGTAAACATCCGTAGTAATTTATGCATGTCAGAGTATATATATTTATATAATATCTACCAAATATATCTCCCCTTAAAATGAATGAAAAACAATACATTTTACTCTGGTTATTCAATTGAATTGTAACTAGCTGAACTTTCCTTTTAACCCAACCTGTTCTAAATTTCGAATGCTGGAAATAAATCATGTAATATAACCATACATATATATACATTTCTTGAAAATGAAGATACTTCGGCCAGTAAATCTTTTTTTTTTTTATATATACAGTAGAACCTCACTTTAGCGGACACCTCTTTACAAAGGACAGTTTTTCATTTTCCAAAAATTTCCGACCCGGGTTCGATCCCCGCATTGGACACTTTTTTTTCTGTTTAAAAAAAAAAAAAATGCTCCAATGGCCCCCCGATTATTGCAAAAGTCCAACCCCACCAGCGAGTGCAAGTAACCAAACGGGGCTCTGGCACATTTGTAAGTGCAAAGTCGAACTGCTTTCACATGTGTAGACATGTGGTGCGCTTACAGTAAAAAGCAGTCGCTAACTACCCACCATGATTATCATGGCCTGTACCACGTGTACTAGGGATAAGCAAAAAAAAAAAAAAAAAAAAAAAAAAAAACAATTTAGCAACTCTCGGGTAAGAGGACACCTCTCCCTAAAGGACACTTTGGCTCTGCAATTAGGTGTCCTTTACAGACAGGTTCTACTGTATAATTATATATAATCTACCAAAAAAAGGGTACCTCTCCCCTTAAAACAAATTAAAAACAATTAGATTTTACTCTGTTTATTCAAAACAACAACAAAAGTGAATTAAAACTAGCTGAACTTTCCTTTTAACCCGAACTGTTCTAAATTTTGAAAATTGACAATAATGTATATATATAATATACCAAAAAAGGGTACCTCTCCCCTTAAAACAAATTAAAAACAATAGATTTTACTCTGTTTATTCAAAACAACAACAAAATTGAATTAAAACTAGCTGAACTTTCCTTTTAACCTGAACTGTTCTAAATTTTCAAAATTGACAATAAATCATGTATTCCGGACACCAAGGTTGGCCATTCATGGAAACTAACTTCAGCTTGCTCCGGGCAAATCTTTACTAACCTAATTTAACTTAGCTTAACTTAATGTCATATTGATATACTTGTGGCACGTTGCTACCCGTGATCTGCAGAAATGAAAATCTCATCCTGACATTTGATAACAAACAATTATTGGTATTAGAAGAATATTTGATAATTGAAGTAACAATAAAACTTGTCTTAAAAAAGGTTGAATGAATATTTGTTTTAATTATTAAAGTTCTTCTGAAATATACAAAGTTTAAAAAATTAAAGACCTTTATATAAATATTAATATATATTTAAAATACTAATAATTTTTTTATGTGAAATTTATATATATATTTATTTAGTAACAATATATCACAATTTGACAGTTTAGAAAAAAAAGTGAATTTTAAGCATAATTTCTCTTCTAAAAGTGAATAAATTGTAGTTTGGTTAATTATTATACATTAACATTTTTAAATAGGGGTGGGTAAACAAGAGTCTTAAAATGAGACTACTGCACATATTGAAATAAACTTTATGAAAATTCAACTTTTATTCAAAATTTTGTAACGTTTTTAATGATAAATTATTTGAAAATATAAAGTAAATTAATTATTTTACGACTTGTGTATTATAGATTTTTTTTAAACATGAATCTTACTGCTTAAAATTAGGTCGAAAATTTAAACTAAACTATTAAAACTTTCTAAGGTTGAAAATGCTCGTTTACACTATCAGGTATTAGTTACTTTTTAAATACAAATAAAATATGTTTTTTTATTGAGAATTGTTTCGAATAGGAAACTCACCTAATTTGATTTAAAGCTGACAATTGAAAAAAATTCATGTATTAAAGCTCATTGCCATTTTAAAACTTTATAGTAAAAGAATCTTTATAAAATAAAAGTAGAGAAGGTTTTGTTAAATATTTAAAAATAAAGAAAATAAAAAAACAATAAAGTCGTAAACTAAACAGACGCCATAACAAATGAAGTGTTGCCAATAATCAAAATAAATTTTTCTTGACACGTTGTTGTTGTTATTGTCCCAAAATAGCGTCATAAAAAGTTTGTTGGTAATGAAAAATATAGACCAATAGGTTTATAATAAAGTTTGCTGCCTCATTTAAACTGACATTTAAAAAAAAAGAGCTTTTTATTCAGAGGCAAAATTTTTGGTATCAATTTTGTTTTAAGAAAAGGAATGGTTAATGAATAATTATCTCTGCCTTGCATGACAATTTTACCCTACAGCTGAACGCTATAATTTAGTCTTTCTTATGCTCCAGGAGCCCGGGTTACCTCTATTTTCTCAGTCTTTCTTTGATGATAGGAAAATATATTAGCATTATAGTATCGTGAATAATTATATTTGGCAAAGCCTTAAAGTATTAGTGAAAATATATATATAGGCTAAATTTTAAAAATTGCAAAATACAAAGGAAATCTTCACATAAGATATTAAAACCTATAAATTCAAGGTCTATTTTCTTTGAATAATAAGAAATGCCTCTAAAAAGATTACAGTTAAAGCATTTTTTATGGAAAAGGTGATAGCTCAATTTTTTTTATAACTTTCACATAATTCTCAACCTTGATCCTAAGATGGGCTTCATTAAATAATAAATTTAAAAAGATGCGTGAAATCGTCAAGTTTCCAAATTTGGAATTTATTATAGGACCAGTAAAGATTTGAACTACCGAAATAGTTTTTAAAATATATAGAGGTTTACTATAAATTAATTTGAGGCAAAACTATGGTGAGAAATAATTAAAATATCCATATATTTTCACATATCGATAATTTCCTTATAATTAGAGATGCAAATAAATGATTGAATCCTACGATTTTAAAAAATCACTTCTATGTAAAAAAAAAAGACTTTATTTTAAAAATATAGAAATGTTTAAAGCGAAAAGAAACCATGTGTTAAAATAACGATTTAAAACTTATTTTAAAAGTCCTAAGAAATGATATTTTATTCACATTTAAAAAAATATTTATAATTTATTTATACAATAACTATTTTCGAAAATTAGCTAAAATAAATTAGCTAATTCAAAGTTTCATTGAAAGAACATTTTAAAATATGCATTATTTTTCCAAACCCAATAAATATAAACGATTTCTATTAATTAAACTATTAATATTTTCCCCTCGCACCACACACTTTCTCTGAACTACATGAGGTTTTTGAATTTGGCAATTCTGTTATTTTCCGATTAAAATTTTATTTGTACACATTTTTATTATTTATTGTGTGCTACAGTGTGATATTTTGCGTTTAAATGAGAATATTTTAAAAAATACCTATATTAAATGTAAGTTTCGGAAGAGAAGATCAATATATTACCTGAAAAATTAAATAAACGTGAATTATATAACAACATATATATATTAATCAAGGCCAAAAATTCTTGTTTAACAAATATATGATTAATTATAAAGTCCTTTACGATTAACTTTTTTGTTGTTGTAAGTATTATTATATTATTATTAGAGTTTTAAATTTAAGATTGACCTTCCAATTTTTATACTATATATGATTTTTAAAAGTATATGAAAATATTAAAATTTCGCTATTAAACCAAAATTGAAAAAAAAAAAAAAAACACCTATATAGAAACTCTGTTAGTTAAATGTTAATTGAATAATTTTATTTCCATTGTAAGATCTGATTCAACATATAGCTTGTTATAAAAAATAAATAAATATGGTTCACTACATGTTGTCATATATATTTTTAGATTCTAATTCTTTTTCTATTTGGTCACATCTGTATGCTGCAGGAACTTTTGTTAAATAATATTCAACCTAAAATATGATGCCCATTATATAATGAAAACAATCTATACTAATAATAAAAATAAAATGAAGAAATTGTTAAAGAAAAATGTATAACATAAAAATAGATAATCTAATATCACTCACAAGAGAGAGAAGGTTAAATAAGTAAATTATTCAACAATATGCCATCTTGACAAAGAAGAAATAGAAATAAAAATATATCTTTACATCTTTGGGTGCCAGTATATTGGGGAAGAAAGAGAGATGTTTTTTTTTTTTTGCTTATCCCTAGTACACGTGGTACAGACCATGATAATCATGGTGGGTAGTTAGCGACTGCTTTTTACTGTAAGCGCACCACATGTCTACACATGTGAAAGCAGTTCGACTTTGCACTTACAAATGTGCCAGAGCCCCGTTTGGTTACTTGCACTTGCTGGTGGGGTTGGACTTTTGCAAGAATCGGGGGGCCATTGGAGCATTTTTTTTAAACATAAAAAGTGTCCAATGCGGGAATCGAACCCGGGTCGTAGTGGTCGAGATGTTCTTCTAAAAAGTAAATGACAGCCAACTTACTTCAGTGCAAAGTACAGTATAACCTCCTTAATTCC